ACCTACTAGCTGCAGTGATTTTGAGTCCAAGAAAATAAAGTCTGTCACTGTTTCCATTGTTTCCCCATCTATTTGCCATAAAGTAATGGGACTGGATGCCATGATCTTAGTTTTTTGAATGATGAATTTTAAGCTAGCTTTTTTACTCTTCTCTTTCACTTTCATCAAGAGGCTTTTTAGTTACTCTTCACTTTATGCCATAAGGGTGGTATAATCTGCATGTTTGAGGTTATTGATATTTCTCCAGGGAATCTTGATTCCAGCTTGTGTTCAAGAAGCCCAGAATTTCTCATGATGCACTCTGCATAAAAGTTAAATAAGCAGGGTAACAGTATGCAACTTTGACATATTTCTTTCTTAATTTGGAACAGTCTGTTGTTCCATGTCTGGTTCTAACTGTTTCTTCTTGACCTGTGTAAAGATTTCTCAGGAGGCAAGTAAGGTGGTCTGGTATTCCCATCTCTTGAAGAAATTTTCACAGTGTAGTGATCTACACAGTCAAAGGCATTGGAGTAATCAATAAAGCAGAAGTAGATGTTTTTCTGGAATTCTCTTGCTTTTTCTATGATCCAACAGATGTTGGCAATTTGATCTCTGGTTCCTCTGCCTTTTCTAAAACCAGCTGGATCATCTGGAAGTTCACAGCTCAGGTACTGCTGAAGCCTGGCTTGGAGAATTTTGAGGATTACTTTGCTAGCATGTGAAATGAGTGCAATTGTTCAGTAGTTCAACATTCTTTGGCATTGCTCTTCTTTGGGATTGGAATGAAAACTGACTTTTTCCAGTTGTGGCCACTGCTGAGTTTTCCAAACTTGCTGCATATTGAGTGCAGCACTTTCACAACATCATCTTTGAGGACTTTAAATAGCTCAGCTGAAATTCCATCACCTCCACTAGCTTTGTTGGTAGTGATACTTCTTAAGGCCCACTTGAATTCACATTCCAGAATGTCTGGCTCTAGATGAGTGATCACACCTTCATAGTTATCTGGGTCATGAAGATCTTTTTTGTATAGTTCTTCTGTGTATTCTTGCCATCTCTTCTGCATATATTCTGCTTCTCTTAGGTCCCTACAATTTCTGTCCTTTATTGTACCCATCTTTGCATGAAATGTTCCCTTGGTATCTCTGATTTTCTCAAAGAGATCTCTAGTCTTTCCCATTCTGTTGTTTTCCTCTATTTCTTTGCATTGATCATTGAGGAAGGCTTTCTTATCTCTCCTTGCTAGTCTTTGGAACTCCACATTCAGATGGATATAGCTTTCCTTTTTCCTTTGCCTTTAGCATCTCTTTTTTAACTCAGCTATTTGTAAGGCCCCCTCAGGTGGCCATTTTGCCTGTTTGTCTTTCTTTTTCTTGGGGATGATCTTGATCACTGCCTCCTGTACAATGTCACAAACCTCTGTCCATAGTTCTTCAGGTACTCTGTCTATCAGATCTAATCCCTGGAATCTATTTGTCACTTCCACTGTATAATTGTAAGGGATTTGAATTAGGCCATACCTGAGTGGTCTAGTGGTTTTCCCTACTTTCTTCAATTTAAATCTGAATTTGGCAATAAGGAATTCATGATCTGAGCCACAGTCAGCTCCTGGTCTTGTTTTTGCTGACTGTGTAGAGCTTCTCCATCTTTGCCTCAAAGAATATATCAATCTGATTTTGGTATTGACCATCTTCTGATGTCCATGTGTAGAGTCTTCACTTGTGTTGTTGGAAGAAAGTATTTGCTATGACCAGTGCATTCTCTTGGCAAAACTCTATTGGTCTTTGCCCTGTTTCATTTTGTACTCCAAGGCCAAATTTGCCTGTTACTCCAGGTATCTTTTGATTTCCTACTTTTGCATTCCAGTCCCCTATGATGTAAAGGACATCTTTTTGGGGTGTTAGTTTTAGAAGTTAGGTCTTCATAGAACTGTTCAACTTCAGCTTCTTCAGCATTTCTGTTTGGAGCATAGACTTAGATTACTGTGATATTGAACATTTTACCTTGGAAACAAAGAGAGATCATTCTGTCATTTTTGCCATTGCACTCAAGTACTGCATTTTGGACTCTTTTGTTGACTGTGAGGGCTACTTCATTTCTTCCAAGGGATTCTTGCCCGCAGTAGTAGATATAATGGTCATCTGAATTAAACTTGCCCATTCCAGCCCATTTTAGTTCACTGATTCCTAAAATGTTGATGTTCACTCTTGCCATCTCCCGTTTGACCACTTTAATTTACCTTGATTCATGGACCTAACATTCTAGGTTCCTGTGCAGTATTTCTCATTATAGCATTGGACTTGACTTCCATCAGCAGTTACATCCACAACTGGGTGTTGTTTTCACTTTGGCTCCATCTCTTAATTCTTTCTGAAGTTATTTCTCCACAGTTCTCCAGTAGCATATTATAGGGCACCTACCAACCTGGGGAGTTCATCTTTCAGTGTCATATCTTTTTGCCTTATCACACTGTTCATGGGATTCTCAAGGCAAGAATGCTGACATGGTTTGCCACTCCCTTCTCCAGTGGACCACGTTTTGTCAGAAGTCTCCACCAAGACCCCTCCATCTTCGGTGGCCCTACATGGCATGGCTCATAGTTTCATTGAGTCAGAAAAGGCTGTGGTCCATGTGATCAGTTTGATTAATTTTCTGTGATTGTGGTTTTCATTCTGTTCACTCTCTGATAAGGATAAGAGGCTTATGGAAGCTTCCTGATGGGAGAGACTGACTGGGGGAAACTGGGTCTTGTTCTGATGGGTGGGGTCATGCCCAATAAATCTTAAGTTCAATTTGTTGTTGATGGGCATGGGTGCACAAGGTTCTGTTTGTGCTCTCCTAGAGTCTCTTTCCCCAGTCCTGTGGAAGTTCTGTAATCAAATCCCACTGGCCTCCAAAGTCAGGCTTCTCAGTCTCTATGCCAGATCCTCAGGTTGAGAAAACTGTTGTGGGTCCTAGAACTTTCTTAACAATGGGAGAATTTCTTTGGTATACTTGTTCTGCAGTTGGTAGGTCATCTGCTCAGTGGCTCTGTGGTGGGGTTAATGGTGACCTCCTCTAAGAGGGCTTATGCTACAGGCTGTGTGACCCAGGTAGCTGCACCCAGAGCTCCTGCCCCTGCAGCAGGCCACTGCTGACCCGTACCTCCACAGGAGACTCAAACACAGGTCTGGCTCAGTCTCTGTGGGGTCTCTGGATCCTGGTGTGCACAAGGTTTTGTTTGAGCCCTCCAGGCTTCTCTGGTGGGTATGGGGCTTGACTGCAAACATGATTTCACTCCTCCTACCATCTTGCTGGGGCTTTCCTTTGCCCTTGGATGAGGGGTATCTTTTGGTTGGATACAACATTCTCCTGTCAATGGTTGTTCAGCAGCAAGTTGTGATTTTGGAGTTCTCATGGGAGAAGATGAGCACACGTCCTTTTACTCTGCCATCTTGCCTGTCACTCCTAGCCCCTGTCCTCCTACGCTTGGTCAACTCTCAGCCTCCTCTTGTGGAACCACAGATATCCCCTAGGTGAAAGGTCCTAAACACTTTGCTCTCTTCTTTGGGTTCCCTTCTTTTGAATGTTAACCAAGTCACTTTTGCCTTCAAATTATGTATGCTACATGTTTTTCAATTTTTATAGTTGGTCTCAATGGGAAAAGCTTCCTCCAAATTTCCCTCTAACATCACCAGCGATAGACGTCCACTCTCCCTCACAAAATAAGAAATGGGCCAGACACTTTGACCCAGGGCCTGGGGATACTGGTTTATTCTTAGCCCCACTCTTCTGAAATGATTGGTGTGTCTGATAAACCCAAATACTGAGCTCTCTCAGACTCTGAATTCAACTGCTTGGGATCAAATCTGGACTCTCATTAACTGTGGGTCCTTTATACCTCTTTTTCATCACTTGTAAAACATATATAACAGTTCATCATGAGAACTAAATAATATGTTGATTAACATAACTAGACCAGTGTCTAGCATATTGTGAAAGTTTAAAAAAAAATTAGCTTCTAATAATGTTTACTTGATTAACCTGGGGATAATATGGCTTAAAGTATGACCTCAGCTTCTTTTGTCTCTAGACCAGGTGAAAACCAATGGAAGTGTGTTGTTAAGAGACTGATTTTGAAAATTAAGTATCTAAACCCCAGACAGACAGAGATGAAACTCTTCTCCAAGTATTAATATATGCCTTAAATCTCAAAGGAATAATCCTAGAATGGCATTTTTTAGTAGCATGATAATCACAAACTATATCCAGGGGTATCAGCTTGCTTATCTGCAAAACAAGATTATTACAATGCCTGCTGTGCCTGCTTCCAGGGCTGTTCTAAAGTCACAGCTGTGAAAGTACTTTAAAAATTATAAAGTAGAGTGGGAATAGAGGTATGATTTATTAATTCCACTTATCAGAAAATTCCTAAACCTTATTATTTAAAATAGGAAGAGCAGAGGTCAAGTTATAAGAAGTGTATGTACTTGGGCACACACACACAAACACACATACAGGATTCGCTTGCTGAAAAGAGAAAGAAAGATATGCCAGTTGATTCAAATCTCTCTCTTGGCTAGTGCTGCCCCAGCCATACCCACTGCCAGCCACTCATCCTACAGTGGCTGCAGCAGTCAGTCTCTCTCCCATTGGCTTATTGGATGCTGGTGGGCCTGAAGCAGAGAAACTCAATTGTTCCAACGTTTTCAGCCGTCCCCAGGGGCTTGCAGCTGTCAGCGGAGTAATGAGAAAGAGGAACAAAGATGGGATAAGACCAGCCGCTATTTACGAGGCTGTGGCCATCCCTGCCCTCACCCCTAACCACCTGCCAAAGGGAGCAGGGTTGAAAGAACCACATTTTCCATTCCCCCAAGCCAGACAAGTAAGTAGAGAACCAACCCAGCTTATTCTAAATTGGTGCCTGATGGGGGAACAAAAAGCTGACCCCACTGAAATTGGGTCATACATCTGTTACATGAGTCCACAGCCTGAGAACCAAATTTAACAGATGTGCTCAAATAGGAGGGACCCCTCCCATGGACAGACACCCTTATCTTGGTGTCCCCCACAATTCCCTCCACCAGGGGCCTGGACAGGTGATGAAAAACGTGACTTCCATCGGGAAGTCGTGTGGTCTCCAGAGTCGGAGCCGCCTCACATCCCTTAACTGCACAACAGGGAGCCCAGCCCAACACCTGACTGAAGCCTTCAGTGGACAGGCACTTTCAGGGACAAAGGTCCGTGAGACCCAGTGGATCTCATGCCCCAGGTTGTCTTCACTCCAGCTTCCTGTCTCCAGCTCAGCAGCTGGGTTGGAACGTAAGCCCTGGCCACCCTCTGAGGCCAGGCCCACCTCCAGAACCCCCCTCAGCCTCCCAGGACCAGCCTGTCACTTACCTCCCTCAACATGTCTGTGAAAACCTCCATCTCGGAGAGCCCCAGGGAGCCAGCCATCAGCCTCAGGGAATTAGTGAATTTCCTGAAATTTGATGCAGATTTTTGTATATAGCAGCCATCTGTACATTTTATTCTAGGGAGAAAAGTAATATATTTTTGCAGGTTTCAGAGAGATGTATGCCATAAGATCATTTAAAATAAATGTGAACATGACTCTATGTGTGTGTGTGTGCTAAGTTGCTTCAGTAGTGAATGCCTCATGGCGACCCTATCGACTGTAGCCTGCCAGGCTCCTCTTTCCATGGGCTTTTCCAGGCACGAATCCTGGAGTAGGTTGCCATTTCCTCCTCCAGGGGATCGTCTCAAGCCAGGAATTGAACCTGTGTCTCCTGCATTGCAGGAAGATTCTTTACTGCTGGAAGCCCCAAACATGGAAGCCCCCAAAACTCCACTACGCTCTACAACATTGTAGTGTGCTGTGTGCTGTGATGAGAGTCCTAAGCTTGCCCCCCTTGCTGGCCCAAAGGAACCACACAGGTGATGCTGCAGGGGGTGTCACCTAGAAGATCGTGCTCCCTAAGTTGGATCGGGGTTGGTAAATCACATCTCTCTGCTGTTGGAGAGGCAGGGCTCTCAGGACTTGGAAGGCATGAATCTATTTTTTTCCAGTATGAAAGGTACTTGAACAACCCATGGACACCCCCTGCTCCCTCACTGAGGCAAACACACAATGCTGAATGAATCCCCTCCCCAAATCCTCCCACAGAGCAGGACTCTCCAGCCACTCTGCAGCTCTAGGAAGTGATCCCTCATGACCCAGAAATAAGCCACAGGACACAGAACCCCTTCCTTCCCACATTGCCCTTCAAGGTCTGGGTCTGCCAGCCTCCACTTCCCCCTGTCCCCTCCCTGCTCCCTGGCAGGCAAACTGGGCCAGAAAAAACTATATCTTGTGATGGGGACTCTCACCTCGTTCTGGTGGGAGGGGACCCCTCACAGTACTCTGCCTGCAGCACTGCTGTGCTGGAAACTCCTTCAAGGCAAGCCCCCATCTCTTCTCTCCCCATCCCCTCTGCCTACAGGGTAACTGGGCTCTCTAGCCTCAATTTCCTCAGGTACCCCCAACCCCCCACCACACCTGGAAATGTCTCCTCTACTTCTGGGTCTCCCTCAAGTCAGTTTTTGAGGAAAGAGGGTCTCTACAACTTGTTAAGGCTAACCTCCCACATGCCTTTTTAACATTTAACTATTAAAAATGTCGTATATATATATATATATATATATACACACACACACACACACATGTGTGTATATGTGTGTGTATAACTAAAATAGTAAAATAAGTCCCCCTATTTCCAGGACCTAGATTTATCTGTCAACATTTCCTGCACAGTAAATCCCCTAGTTGTGAATGAGTACTGTTATAAGAGTACATTTGTAAGTCCAACAGAGTTAGCCTAGGTACATAACTAACACAGTTGGCTATGTACTGCTGCTTTTACACTTGTTTCCAGACATCCTGGGCTTGAAATAAAGATACTGTACTATTGTACTCTATACAGTACTGTACTGTGAAGTATCCAAAACACAGCCACTTGTAATGGATGCACACATGTGACAATGTACAGCAGACACATGAAGTCACTTATGTGAATGGACATGTGAATGCACAGTAGCATCTTTGAAAGTTCGCAAATTTAGGGTTTGTATCTAGGGGACTTAATGTATTTATTTGTTTCCATTTTCCTTGGTGAAATATTATAAAACAAAGTCTACATTGCCACATTGACTATAAATTCTTTGGTATGTGACACTAAAATATAAAGACATTTTCTTACTCAGCTATAATACCATATCACATCAAATAAAATCAATGATGATTCTTTAATATCATTCATCACTGGTCTACATGCAAATTTCCCTTATTGTCTCCCAAAAAGTCTTTTACAGTTGGTTGACTTGAGACAAAATTCACACAGGGGCCACACTCTGCATTTGGTTTCTATGTCTCTTAACCATTTTTTAAATCTTAAGCTGCTCTTTTCACCCCAAATTTATTTTTCCAGGCTGTTGCTGGCTGGTGGGGACTTTTAGGACATCCTATAGAATGCTCCCCTTTCTGGATTTGTCTGATTCCTCACAGTGCTGTTTAACTTACTCCACTATGCTCTGTTTCTATTTCTTCTATTTCTATTTCTGGAGATAGAAGTTTGAAGAGGCTCAAACTCTGGTAAGCACTGGGCTCACCAAAGGAGCTTGGCAGAAGCTCCTCACCTGCCTGAGGCTGGGGGTCTGTGTGCTTCACTGGCTGTTCTGGGCTCTCTGGTTACAGGGCCACAGACGATGCATGTGCTCCTGTCATGTCACAACGAAGCACGCATCTCACTGTCCAACTTCAGTGACGCTTATATTGATCCAGTGTCCAGGTAGTGACAGGCTGGACTATCAATGTCACATTTCATGTGCACCTGCCTTTAATCTCACCTTACTCAGAGTTCTTCAGGACCTTTTTCCATAAGTTATTTCTATTTTCACTCATTCTTCCAACTTCTATTTTCTCCTTCTCCTAAAAAAGAATAAGAAAAATCATGCTTATTATAGTGTGGTTTACAGTAAAGAGATAGATGAAGTTTAAATGTCTGAAAAGAAAACTGGTTATACACTTTAGTGAGTAAAATCATTTGCAGCTACTAAAAATTACATCATCAAAAATATATGATGACATGGAAAAATCATAATAAAATTTTAAACAAGACTAAAGCTACAGAAGAGACATATAACAACAAAATAGTTGTATCATGTACAGGTCTATGTTTTTTGGAAAAAAAAAAAAAACCAACCCTACAAGTACCAGAATTTCTATAAATGTCCACATCCAGAAAAAAAAAAAAAGCACAATTTTGTCAAGAGAACATGTGGATCACAGCAAACATACAGCAAAATCCAACAACACAGGAGATGACTCTACACATGGACATCACAAGATAGTCAATACTGAGATCAGATTGATTTCCTTCTTTGCAGCTGAAGATGGAGAAGCTTATACAGTCAGCAAAAACAAGACTGGAAGCTGACTGTAGCTCAGATTATAAGGTCTTTATTGCAAAATTCAGGCTTAAATTGAAAAAAGGTAGGGAAAACCATTAGACCATTCAGGTATGACCTAATTCATATCCCTTATACAATGGAGATGACAAATAGATTCAAGGGATTAGATCTGGTAGACAGAGTGCCTGAAGAGCTATGGACAGAGGTTTGTAACATTATACAGGAAGAAGTGACCAAAACTATCTCCAAGAAAAAGAAATGCAAGAAGGCAAAGTGGTTGTTTGAGGAGGCTTTACAAATAACTGTGGAAAGAAGAGAAGTAAAAGGCAAGGGAGAGGAGTGTTAGTGAAGATGGTGGAGGAATAGGACAGGGAAACCACTTTCTCCCCCACAAATTCATCAAAAGATCATTTGAATGCTGAGCAACTTCCACAAAACAACTTCTGAACGCTGGTGGAGGACACCAGGCACACAGAAAGGCAGCCCATTCTCTTCGAAAGGAAGTAGGACAAAATATAAGACAAAAAGAGACAAAAGAGTTAGGGATGGAGACCCAACCCGGGAAGGGAGTTGTGAAGGAGGAGAAGTTTCCAAACACTAGGAAACCCTCTCATCAGCGGGTCTGTGGGGAGTTTTGGGATCTTGGGGGGCAACATAACAGGGAAGGAAAATCAAACAAACAAACCACAGAATATGCACCTAACTGCAACTCACAGCGGAGAAGTAGCCCAGATGCTCGCGTCCACCACCAGCAAGTGGGGGCTGAACAGGGAGGAGTGGGCGCAGGCATAGGGTAAGGACAGGGCCTGAATCCCCTGAGGACAATCTGAGGGAGCTAACGTGAGATAGCAACCCAGACTGTGGGATAGACAGGGAGAGAAAAACAAAAACAAAAAAGAGAGAGAGAGAACTTTCCCTCAAAAAGCTCAACCTAAGGCACAGCTGGACATGCTCATAGAACAAAGGACTGAGCGAGTACCAAAGGAGAACTGGCTGGCTGCAGACTGGCGCATCCCCCGCCAGAGGCAAGCAGGTGACAGCCAGAGCAAGAAGGTGGGGGGGGGTGCAATTTTGGCCCCAGAGACAGCATCCCCCTCCAAACTGTGAGCAGGCTCCCAGTTGCTAACCAAGTCTTCCTGGGATCCTAGACAGTTGACATCTGCCAGGAGTGTCAGCCAGAGACCAGCTCCCCAGAAGAGATACACGGCACACCTGAGGTGGTGCTCCCACTGTGCACCCAGGAAACAGGGCAGCTGGGATTGGGGAGGTGATTAAGATGCATCGGCCACCTGGAATACTGCGCTTGGCAAGCACCTGGTTTCCTGAGCTCCTTGGACCTGGTAAGGGCACAAAATGCATGCCCAACTGAATTTGTGCCTTTGTGGAGTACCTGAGAACCTGAACCTGAGAAGCTTAGACCTGGAAAGTACACAAACCCCAGGGCCCACTTTGGACAGTTCCCCTGCAGAGCAACCTGGAGCCTGAGCAGTGTAGATGGGGAAAGCACACACTTCATGAGCGGGGGCAAACCCAGAGGTCCATACACTGCAAGCACTCCCCACACACGCCAGTGATATTTTTTAATTTTATTCAGATCCATTTATTTCTTGGTCATCTCTTCTCTAGACCAAGAGTAGATCCAGTCTGTCTTAGAGCCTAAGGATTATACAGTTTAGGAGTGGAAGGGGACACTCTGTAGGAAAATGAAAGCAATATATATATATATGCAGAGCCTTGGCAGGGGGGTATGAAATGAAAATGAGGGGCCTTAATGTTTCCTAAGCCATGTGGCAAATCTACTTCTTTCTTTGCTCATTCATTTGTTTTTTTTTTTTTTTACATTTTATTTTGTAATTGGGGTATAGCTGATTAAAAATGTTGTGATAATTTCAAAGGGACTCAGGCATACACATACATGTATCCATTCTCCCCCAAAGCCCTTTCCCATCCACTGTTACATTATGCTGC